TTGAGCAGGTAAAGGTTGATACCATAATTCACATGGTTCCTAACTCAGTGACCCACAAGAGAAGGAAGATATGGTTTTCCCACTCTACTGTGATCTTGAAAGCCAGTTAATAAAGAGAAAAATAATTTGTTGGAACGTAGGGACAGAACTAAAAGACATTAGGTGCAGCTTCCAGGAGGGCTGAGAACTCTGCACCAAGGGCAGATATGTTTCAGTCCCTGAAGGGAGTAGTGTAGGAGAATTTGTGGACCTAGAGAGGAATTGTTTGAATATAAAAAGGCAAAAGGAATTGCATGCTTATTTTGAGTTGTGTCTTAATAAATCAAAATCTCTGTGTGTGAGAGTGTGATGGGGACACCGAATGGAGTAACATATGCTTGGACCATGGAAAAATCTGGAAGAAGTAAATAGAGCACCTACAAAAATTGCAGATGACATAAACTGGGAGGTGTTGTAAATACCACCTGGTACAGAGAACTGGTACAGAAGGACACAGATAGATTACAAAATGGGCAGGAAATAAAATGTGATTCAGCTTGAAAAAAAATAACCAAAACATGAGAAAAAAAGAGATGCTTGGGAAGCAATAATGCTGAAAGAGACCTGGCAGGCCTGGAGAAAGCTAAGCAAACATGGGTTAGTAAATGGTTATAAAAATGGCTGTGCAATTTTGGGCTACTACACAGATTGATTACATCACAAAAGAAGTGACATTTTCTCTCTATATAAGACTTTTGTGGTTGCATTTAGATCATGGTGTTCCATTCTGATCACCTCCTCCTTCAGAAAACTATGGAAGGAGTTCAAAGAAAACTAACAACATTTTTCAATAGTTTAGGGGAGTTAACTTTAGAAGACAGATTCAAACATGTAAACTTGCATTGATAAGCTTAAGGATGAATAAGTATATTTCCATGTATATAAAAGCAGTATATAAATATTTGAAGCAGATAGAAACAAAGAAGGAAGAGGCTTATCAAGAATAATGGGAAAAAAGAAACAAAATACAAGTATACGTGTTTGTTTGGTGGATTAGAAAGTATGTGATATAAATGCATACATCCGTATCGTCTTGAAAGGTCTCACATTCCCAAAATTCCAGGTATTGACAATTGTCAAGAGAGGTGAAGCTAAACATGCTTTGCCCTTAACAATGCATGCAGCTAAAAGGCATCCAAACTGCAGATTAGTTGCACTAATTGCTGGCACCTATTAGTGGCAATGTGTTATTTTTCTGAGGGTAGACAGAGTGAATTTTGTAGGGCACCAAACACATACAAGAAATTTCAGGGATGGAAAGTATGGGAGCGGGCATGAGATTTGAAAAAAACAGGCAGAAGAATATATTTTTCAAGGAATGCAGGAACATACATATTTGCTCTTATTTTGCAAAGACATGCATGTGAAAAATTGTGTGGGAAGAATAAATAAAGGGGTTGTCTAGACTAGAGTCTTTTTGCTTGAATTAATTGATTGATACAGCAATATATATTTTATATCAGATGGGAACATAAGGATCTATAATAAATTATAAAATGTCATTGCTTTAGAATATTTTCTACAAAGCTTAAGACAAAATATAATTGATGTTCTGATAAAACTGCACCTGCATATTAATTAAATAATTAGTTTTATTATTTTGCAGTTCTAGGGAAAAGGCTGAACATTAGGAAATGTATGGTAAAGTTAATAACACAGATAATCTCAAGTAAGACCCAATGTCAAGCTGATCCATTGATCAACCACAATTCCCTTATACCTACCCGCCCTATAACCAATCCACCACACCTTTTCCATATTTCCAATTTGTATCCGTACTGTAAGAACAGAAAAGTTTTCATGAACTATGATTAAATCAACAATGAGTTGTGGCTCCAACTGAAATAGGAAGTATCATCAACTACCATACTCCAGATACAAAATTGCAACCCTAACCATGACCATTAGGGACCACCTACAGACACAAGGACAGATTTGCCTTCAAATTCAGCTTTCCACTGATAGTGAGAAGCATCTTTTTATCTCCACATAGACAGTCCATAATTTATGGTACCATATCTACCATTACAAGGCAACTTGCAAAATCTTCAGCCTCCAATTACCTGCAGTAACCCATATGATTTAAGTAATACTCCAAAATATATGTGGAGTAAAGATGGGGATACAGTGTCAGAGGAAAGGTTGTTTGTGAACCTTAGTTATACATTTCCTGAGTTTTGAGCTTTTATTTTAATAACTATATTATTCTAGGAATGCTTTTTCAATTTAACATATTTATTTACAATATTAAATGCATCTTAAGTAATATTTTTACTGGAAATATAGGAATCAACCTAGCCATACAATATGGTATAGAAAGCAACAATTTTATAATAACAATGTTTAGCAATACTACACAGTAATTCTGGACAGAAAATGAAAAGCAATCCTGCCCAATTTAAAACTACAATAATTTAGAGAAGCAAATTAGATTAAGCAAATTTGAATATAATTATTCAAGTTGACCATGGACTAAGGCAAAGGTCAGTGACCTCTGGCCACAGGCTAAATCTGACCCCTGGAGCTGTGGCTTCAGCAGCATTTGATGGTGGGGAGTTCTGCCTGTGCTGTGCTGTCACAGCCTGGTGGCAGGGAGAAGCAGCAGAGGCAGCTGGGTGCTGATGCTTGCTTGCCTCAGACCTGAGCTAGGTCTTTTAGTCCCCTTGCTAGAAAACAGTGCCAACCCCTGGACTAAGGACACTGGGGATGACTGTTCTACTGCAGAGAAAAATGCCATATGGTTTTAAATTACTGTAACTGATCAACACGGATTTTAAAAAATCACATCTAAAAGATGACATCTTCAGTAGAACAATGCCCCCCATCATCTTAGAAATGCAAAACTCTAGATCTTATTAATTCACTATTAACTGAATTAGTTTCACTTCAGATACTAATTCCACTTTCTGCGACAAATTAAGTTTTCTTACTATCTGAGTATCTCATGTTGAGGTACTGGATTTTCTCATGTGCATTTACCCTCCAACTGATTTCTAAGGAGAAGTGATTCATTTTGGAATAACAGTCTTTTCTTTGGCACCCTCTTGTTATTTCATTTCTAACAGACTGATGTTTTCTTTAACATCTGTTCCAATGAACCCTTAAAATGACTGCATATTGGAGACACTGATCAAAACTCCATAGTTAAGACTGAATTTCATTTTTAATGAAAGTAGGGATTTAGCCTTTTAGGTAACAATGCTCTAAGTATAGACTGATTTTTTTGACAATTTATAAATAAATCTGTTACTTGGTTTGAGTTAAATATGTTTAAAAACTGGTCCTTTAAGAAATCTTTTGTATCAGTCACCCTCCCCACACCCCAATGATTTTTAATAAGGAAATAATGCAGACCCTCCAAACTTTCAGTACAGCTAAAAATCAATTGAAAACTTGTGCACTGGTTATGTGGAAAGTGGTAAGATTGCAATTAATTTACTGATTTTTATTTAGATGTTATAATTATATAATGTGAGGAATAACAAGCGTCAGCTCAACAGCTCAGATAACATTTAAGCTGGCCCGTCATAACTTGAGACAACTCAACACATCAGTATTATCCTTCTAACTGTAACTAATTTGAATTCAACAGTATTATTGATTGTAATGAAGCAGTGAGGGAGGGAGACTGCATGCTTGTGTAAAGCATTCCAAGTTGCAGGTTACTTGTCTAAACTGCCATTGCTTTTGATGGCCCACAACTAGCTTTGATCAGCACTACTTGAAAAGCTACCTACCCATGGTTTAACTGCTTTGGTTTCTCTGTAAACAAGGGAGTATTGCTGGAGAGACTGAAATAGATGTAAAGATTCATCCTTAAGAGTGTAGGGACATAAGAACTTGGGAATTGGGCTCTCCCCTTTCCTTTCTTTCACACAGGACCTATACCCTCTAAACCAGTAAGTCAATTGCAAATTAGGGATCAGATGCACCGATAAACTTTGGCTAGTTTGATAATGCAAAGCAGCTGTAAATCCCGTCTAACTAAGCAGTATGCTCAGGTTGCCTCACATTTTTCTCACTTCCTGATGAATCTGCCCCTAGCATTCTATTTGGGTTCTTGTTTAATTTTCATCTACGAAATCTTTAAAAAAAATTGCCAGTCAAAAACCTACTTTAATGTACACTTGAGGTTGACACTGTATATCAACATCTCAAGGGGGAAGAAAGCACTACAGGTATGTTGTAACTGACACAACGCTAAGAGCTACAAATCTCAAGAGTTTGGAGTTATGACAATACTTAAACCCACATGGATTAAGGAAATATACAATTAAGGCACTCAGGCAACCTCAACTCTGCCCTCTAATGAGACTGTAAAGGTGAAAAATATGAACAAACTCAATTTTAATAATCAGATTAATCTAATTTGGGACCACTGCCACTAAAATACTTTGATCATAATCATTAGGTAACAGTTAGGCAATCACTAGGTAATTGCACAAGGTTACTAGAGAGCAGATTTAAGGTAGTTTGCTTGCCTTTACTTTGTATTTCTTTCCTGGAAATGTGATACAGCTGTGGCAGCATTTGTGAAACAGGCAGCAGTGTCTTGTGGAGGTACCTCTTCCTCTTCTCACCCTTATGCTGTAACGTACGTATTTGTAGCCAGTGTAGGAGAATAGAAGGGATGCCTTGCACAAGTTACATTTGTGACTGGGATTAGCATTATGGAACTGTACATTATTGAAATGCAGTGTTTAGAAACATTATCCCAAAATATTGCAGCAATTTTATTATGTGTAGTGGATGGAACTCTATTCAGTACTGTCAAAATTTAGTCAAAAGACTTTTTGGTCCTCTGAATTCAGAGATTCAGAATTTTAACTCGTTCATTTGCACTGTGCTTCCTACGGCTTTTACTCCTCCCTTGTTATGTAGCACTCAGTGAAGGAAATTTCTGTAAATGAGGATGTTTCTGTCCCAAAGGGCAGACTGTTCTAAATCCAGGACTATCTCACCTCTGGAGTGACATCTCGTGGTGCAAACCCTGTTCCTCCAGTTGTTAAAATCAAGTTAAGTTCCTTTTCATCACACCAGTCTATCAGTGTCTCCTGAAAGAGAACATCAACACTGTCAGATCTAGCATATATAAAAACATCTACAGCTTAAAGCCTAGAGCTTGAAATCTTCAAGTAGCAATAATGCCAATAATTAAACTAATCTACATATCATGAAATAAATGAATATTGAAAGCATCAAATGTGACAACTTACATAGAGTCACTTAAAGTGTTAAAGATATTTTAAATCTTTATGACCAATACATAACAGAATAATTTGTGTACCATAACATTAATATATTTTGAGTATAAAAACTTTCCATCCCTTGACCCCTAATAAATAAGCAGCATTCAAAGTCTTAAATCGTGCTTTATTTTGATATTATAATACATGCGGCAATTCCAACACAGGTCTGAAATACAAGTATTTCATCCCAACTTGTATCTAAACAGTACATGCATCTAGTTTACCCTGCTTGGTAGCTGTGGGTTCTATGGTCTAATTTCCATTGCAATAACCTGATGATAATGAGAGCAACACCACTGCAAGCTTCTCTACGACCAAGCTTTAAGAAGCTGAACTCAGCCGCACAAAGGTGGCTCTGGATCCTCACTCAGCTTTTCTTTATACCCTATTCCCTACATCTCAAGAATTCAGTAGAACAAAGTTCCTTGCTCTCTCAGCATCCCACAGAGCTCTGCTCTTCCTACCCCACCTCCAAGCGGGGATGGAGAGAGGGAAGGTGACTGACTCAATGACAGTTTGTCAGGGAGCACTGCTGCAGCCCAATGAGGATCAGAGGCTGCAGCTTTGCTCACTGGTGCAGCGGGGTCCAGTACTTCTGCCAGCAGTGACTGTGGGGACTGGTGCTGCCTCAAGAGGCAGGGACTGCTGCTGCTGCCACTGTGGTTGGAGTGGAATTGCTACTATTGCTTTAGTAGCAGTGGTAGGAATTGCTGCTGCTGCCCTGGTGGTGGTGGCAGGACTTGCAGATGCTGCTTTAGGGCAGCAGGGACTACCGCTGCTGTGGTGGTAGGGACCATTGCTGCCCTTGTGAAAGCAAGCACCAGTGTTTGCTGATTTGTCAGTGATCACCAGTTGCCCACCAATCCCTGACAGCATGCCTGGTGGTCCTCCTTCCCCAAGAGGGGAGAGGGCAGGCTGTTGGTGACTGGGTTCACTGACAGGTTCCCCTCCCCACCCCCCACCCCAGGAAGAGGAGAGGAGGAAGAAGGGCATTTCACAAGTCCTATTGTAAATAGGTCTGTTCTCATGAAAGATTTTTTTACTTCAATCAAATAATGCTTTTATCTAAAGCTTTCTATATTTTATTAAAAAAAACCCAAGTAGAAGAGTATTATTAGAGCTAGTAAAAAAAAAAAACCCAAACCAAGAAAATATTTATCACTGGAATTTGCTGATTCATTGACTTTGAAGCATTCTGAAGAGATGAACCAGTATTACTGAAATTACAATAGGAACCAAGCAAGGGTTCCAAGCACCTTCCAAAAATTTTTACTTTTCTAAGTCTGCCTATTTAAAAATGTGAAGCACTAGGGTTTCCAGGGTCCACATCTACAAGAAGACCTCCTATGCAGACTGAGAGACATTTAGGACTTCCAGGGTCCATGACCACAGGGAACCTCCCAGACAGCCCGATGGGACCAGGGCTCCATTCCTGTCTCCAGAGAATTTTGACATTTTTCATTTCCTGAAGATAGTCATTGCCATTTGTCTGAGTAACCTTACCACCTGCACTTATGGTTAAATAGTCAGATCTTTTTTATGCTAAAATATATGGGCATGTGGAAATTATTTCCAAATAAACTCACTAAATAATGTGCATAATATATCAAAAACTTAGCAGCTCTTAAGTTTGATTTTCCAAGCTGAATGAAATGCAAACCAAACAAATAACATTAGTAGTGGAAAGGAAATTGAGGCCCAGATCCTAAATGATCTCTGAGACACCTCCATTTATGCAGCTTGTATTTTATGCATGACAATAGCTTATACATGACAATACCTAAAATATAGGTACCTAATTAACATACTTAGGAACCTAGGCTTCCTATGCAGTAAATAGGGCAAACACAATTGACTAATCCTTTAGTATGGAGACACTATGCATTATACATTAGAACAATATGGCCCATGGGAAAGATCTGGCTATCAGAGGTGGATCATCTGGCCCATGGGGCTTTTTGCAGAGGCTACCAGAAGCTAAAAAGTAATCGATCCCCTTGCCAACCACTTGCCATAGCTCCTGGAGTTGCAGTGTTAGCATTGGCAACTAAAATCTGCAGTGTTCACCACCTGGGTGCTGGCTGTACGGACCCTGTGGCTTCTGTTAGCACCTATAGCAATGGGACTTCAGCAGTGGCAGCATTAACTCCTTGCCTGCTGGCACTGACACAGCAGTGTTTGTAGCGATTGTCTGAAGCCTCATGATCTGGAGTTAGAAGTGGGTTGTCTAGCCTGAAAGAAGTCCCTGATCCAAATCTGGACTGCCCTCTCATTGAAGGCTGATACCCCTGAATAAAACCCCCCAAACTCCATGAACCCACAGATCTTTTCAGGGCAAAATGGAAGCAACTAATGAAACTAGGCACCAAAGCAGTTTGGGGGTCAATTTGGACTTGTGACTTAGGATTTAGGTAGAGGGTAAGTGTCTAGGTAGAAGATACCTTAGAGGTCAATCAGAAAAAAAAACTCTGCACTTATAGATCTTTCTTTTTAAACAAAATAATTCAAGATGTTTATCAGCAAAAGAGATATGAACGATCTATTTTTTTTTAAATAGATGACTTATCCTGTCAGAGCCCCTTGATTATCTAAAAACAGAATTTGCCTCATCTTTCAATAGTAGCAAGTTTCACAGTGTGACTCAACAGAACTTCAGTGTGGTATGGTGCACAAGTTTTGTATTGCAAATTTTTCTAAAAATTCATCATCCTCAAGCAAAATCTGTCAGTATGAGAATAGAAAGAAGGGGGCTTTGTGTTCCTTTTTAGTACAGTATCTGTATGTCATATTCTTCTTTAGACAAAAGAAAACCTGCCAAATTCCACTTGGCTTTATGGAGAGAATACATCTTTCATGTACTCCAGTTTTGCCACAGTTCAGTGACAGATTGATTATATTTTAAGGCATTGCTAGGGAGAAGAATAAATTTAATGTGCCATCCTACAAGGAGGAAAAGATAAATAATGCTCTCTTTTTCAAACTGTTCTTTACAGCAACTGAATAGTAACAAAATGGATATTACAACTATTCCATGGCTGCACTCAGGCAGAGGCATAATTCTTTATCAACAGTTGGCTATGCTGACGTTTCTTTAGTTTCCTTTACTCAAGCCTCTGATTATGAAGTACTAAGTTAGAATTTCACTGCACTTTAGAAGCTTTTATTGGACCACATAGATCTTTAAAATTGTTTGGAAATGTTTCCTGTGTTGATCTGAAATGTATTTGCTGTCTCTTCTCCATAAAAAGTGAAAGAAATGACAACATCTTACAGAAATGCACTCATCCAATTTACAGGAAACAATACTACATCTTTCTAATGCCATAGAATATAATAGTTTAAAGAGTTAGCCCTTGAAACCTGATAATCATAAATTATAAATCCCTTCTTCTCCCCAAAAGTCACCTTTTCCAAACTCCTGGAAAATTTTGGCATTGCTTTTCAAATCCACCTACAGGTTAACTTATGACCACTTTGGTACTATATGTCCCACTGTCTAGATCATAAAGAAGAAAGATAACAGGCAATCAAGTTTGGAAATCTTCCTGTTTCCTAAAGCATAACTCCAATGAAAAAGCATATTTCCAAAATATTTTTTTAAATGGTAAGCGCCTAAAAACAAGAATCTCAGCCTGTCATTAATGGAGGGCAAGGCTTAAAGCCAGATTTCTGCACCCTGAAATCAAGCTTTATTTTGTACTTGCTTTCCACAGGATTATACTTCATATGTCTTCAGACTATAAGTTTGCCAGGGTAAGTACAAGGCCACATATTTTATATTGGTGCTAAGAAAGTAAAGTAGCAATTATATAAACTTCAAAAACAAGGCTCCTTGTAATCTTTGTGTTGCTGTCTGGTTTGGGTACATCTGAAATATAAACATTCAGGGCCTGGTCAAGAGGGATTTAAATCAGTGTCATTCCACTACACTAAATGAAATTATGTTGATATATGCCGGCAGAGGAGCTGGCCTGAAAACATGAGTGTAAAAAGAACTATTCAAGTCAGAGACTACAGCCCACATAGAAAAAATGAATACAATAAATATCTTTGCCTTTTAATAATAAGTAACAAAAACACTTTTAAGCCACTTCTCTCCCCAGCTTCTCTACTTAAAGGGTTAAAAAGAGGTCATGTATGTTCTGTTTGGTTCCTCTGGACTACTTTTACTCAGATAGATCACAATTGTGCTTCTGACCAATTTAGACTTCACTTAAGTGCTTGAATCATTAGTGTTTGCTATATTTTTTGTTGCAGAGAAATGGAGTGTCTGTTCATTTTCTATGTAAGTTTTGGAGCAGATTAGTTATATGGTTTTATCAGTCCACATCTTAGGACTGATTCCTCTCCATTGTTATCTATATTTTCCTTATGTCTGACATTACATTCAATTTTATCTCACCTCTCATTCCTTTTGAATGTTTTTTTCTTTGATTTTGCATGCAGTCAAGGTATCGTTATCCTTTTGTTTAGTTTCTTCATTAGAATGTCAAGAATCCTTATCAACTTTTCTAATGCTCAGGTTTGATCAGTGTCACATACAACTTCTCAATACCATTAATACACACATTGCACTCTCTAACAGAATTCCTTATATAAAGGATTCCTTGTGCTTATGCATATTATAGCTCTGTTAAACCTTAAACCTTAACTGGAGTTTGCAGTGGATCCAGAGGGGGTGCAGTGGCATGGCTGCACCCCACTCTGTGTGGACCACCACACAGGAGCCTCTGGGGACTTTTCTGAAGTGCCCAAAGCAGGTAAAGAGAAGTGCCCTCCCTTACCATGCATGCTCAGAGGCATGT